AATTTTACGCTTGTCTATAAAACTTAAACCTTAAAATTACATGACTTTTTATCACAGAGCAGCAAAAAAAACATCGACTGAATGTTTTTTTACTGCCCTTTACAAAAAGTCATGTAGAAGAAGTTACCATAAAGAAAAAGAATGAATAAATTACCTTGCTATTTGTAGTGCGACATTGTAAAAAGTACTCTCTTTTTCAGTCCGTTCAATTTCTTTCAACATATTCTTTTTTTGTTCTTCTGTATAATTTTGCTTTAAAATTTCATGTTTTTCAATTGCTCTCTCCTCAGCTATTTTCACCGCATGTTCCGCAATTCTACGAGCATCCTCCGCCTTGTGACCCGACTGAAATCCAAAAACATCATAGTTCTCAAAACTGTTCATTCAGATGACTTAAAATTTATTTGGTTATTGTAAGTTTTTCTCAAATGAAATGGAAATCAAGTTTTTAATTCGGAAAATTCAGAAAACTAATAGACGTGGACAAAGTAAATGAAAAGTGTATGTCACCTGAAGAGCTTGATAAAATATTTCACGCTTCAGTAATAATAATCCTTGGCGCATTCGCCGCTTTTCCACGGCCCTAAATCAATAAGCTTTGATTCGATTATTATATTTGAAGAAAAAATCTTAAATTTATTAAAACCAAAAAGCTCTACTACTGGAATCAAGAAAATGATTGACATAACTATTCACGATTAATGAACAGTTTTGAAAACATTAAAATACTTGGAAAAGGACAAGAAACATACTTTGGCATAGGCTTAGTTGTTTCATCCTTGAGACTTCCTAAAAAAGCGGTAAAAACTCTATCCGATAATAATTCACTGTATTGCGCACTAGTTGCCGATTCAAATTTCTCTTTTTCATATTCCATCAATTTTCCAATCAGTTCATTTCTCGTTCTAAAAAAAAGCATTCTCATATGTTATATAATTTAACTTTTTTAGGCTCAATATTAGCATATTTTCTTCGAGATATAATCATTTTTCTTCTTAGCAATACGGAAGAAAAAAAGCTAGTTCAAAAAGATGCAAACATTGGATTCTATCACGACTTCTAACTTATGACTATATCCAAGGACTGAAAATGATTCCAAGGATTATATAATCCTGGCATTCTAAGATGAATCTCTTTATTGCTTCCTATTATTTAAAAGAATACTCAAGTCCTCTAAGCAAACAAGCGCTTACTTTCTTTCATCAGAGATACCACTGTAATGAAGTTCCTTAACTACGGAATCAACAGCGGTCAAAATTTCATTCGTAGCCACTTCATTTGGTTTCGGTTTTTTCTGCTCCTTTTTTCGCGCAAGCTCCAATAATTTTTCTGTGAATTAAATTTATTAAGTAGCACACATTCAGTTCAAGTGAAGTAACTAATAAAAGTTCAACAAAATATTTAAAAAATCACTTCGCATGTTTTCTGGTTTCAAATTCGCTTTGGAAGTTGTACTTCTTGATTCTTTCCTAATTTCAGGTACAATTTTGAGGGATGCTTCATTTTGTAGGCTTTTTTCATCTTGCGAACCACCATTATCATCGTTTGAAATACCGAACGATCGTCGAATACGAGGAAAAACTATACGCTGTCTGCTGATTTCTAACCGCACCGAACAACAACAGCGATTAAACATAGTTTCTGTTATGTATCTAAATTATTTACATTGGAAAATCTTATTTACATTTACTGCTAAGTTATAAACTTAAAAAAGGAACAACTTTAGTAAACAGAAACAAAATCTCTAAAAAATTAAACTACAAGAAGTTTATGGTTACTTACATCCAACATTTCAACAACTCTCTCAAATTACTTGTCTCTTTCTCTCTCTCTCTCTCTCTCTCTCTCTCTTATCCCGCCATTTTTTAGTAACAATAATGTCCAGAAACAATACAAGATATTACGATTAAAATGGAACAAATATGCTTACCATTTAAAATTCCCTATTCTCATTTAAAGTACAAGTAGTGGCTATCAAAGCATCGTATTTGACTAGCTCTGAAAATCGTAATTACGTTTTGTCGAAACAGCAATTTAAATGGTCCCAGATTCCACTCTTTGGAAACGTAGATCAAAAACAGACTAATAATCTTAAGCGCCTGACAAAGCTGCACTCTGACACTTAATAAAAGAAAACTAACCACGGATAGTGGTTGGACCGTAACCCTGCGGTGATTAGGAGCATAAACACTAGTGGAAAGTTTGGAGATTGCACTGTATAATTTAAAAATGCCAGTATGATATTGTGAGAGTAAACAAGGGAATATGTGGGAAACACATAACTTTGATATCCCTGCTTAGTGTCACTCGGTATTTATTGAACTTAATAACTTCATGAAGGACAAAAAAAATTTGTTCTATACATCTTTACTGAATAATGAGAATTCCACTGCCAACATATTCACAATTATAATAAATATGACAACTGTAAAGAGATGGAACTACTTATACCAATATATAATGATATTATCAATATGCAAAATGGTCCAACATACTAATAATAATATTAACAAAAGTGGATCAAAAATTGTCAAAAAATTCTTCAATTAGAGCCATAAAACCTATAAAAATAGCACAGACAAGCTGGCAATATAATGAAAACAATAAGGATGAACAGTTTTACAGATAAATAAAGTTTTCAAAGGTAACAAAAGCAAGGAAGGAAATATTACTCCAAAGTCGTACTATAAATAATCAAGCAAAATTTTCTTAAAACTGAAGTTTGGTAGAAGTCCCAACTAAATTTTCTCTTTAAAAAATAGCTTCATGCTGAACAAGACAGTTTAATAGATGATTTACTGATAAATGGAATCCTTATCCACTAATAATTCAGCTACTTACAAATTTTAAACCCTTGGAAATATTTTTCTGCAGTTCGGGAATGGCAGCGTCGACAAGGCTCTGTTCGTATGCATTAAGGTCGCCCATTCCAAGAATCTTCTCAACTCCGTTTTTCTAAAGAAATTAAAATTCTATAGTTTCCGGAAAAAATCAATTTTCTTGGTATTTCTGAAGTCAAAGACATTATAAATTGTAATTGAGAATCAGTCCTCAGAAAAGCTAGTGGAAAGTATAGTTAAATTTATGGGATTAAGTAAAGCGATAAAAAACACTTGAAATTCGTTAAATAAATGAAATAAGCAAATATGAAAGCGAAAAGAGAGTTTACTATGAGAAAAAATGAAAATTTTTTTCCTCAAAATTATAGAATATGAAGAACTTACACCAAATTCCAATGGTGTTGCAAAGTAGTCTACGCCCTTGCATGCATCCGAAGCTACATATGCACACTGAACGGATTTTTCACCATTGAGACCTTTTAGTAAACTTTCCACAAATTTTGAAGCTGCCATAGCCATTGAAAGTGTAGCCGAACCCTGTACTTTTTTGATAGTAAATCTAATTCTTTGATGTCGCATATCAACGAACATAAACTATCTGAGTAAAGGCACTAAAAATCTTAGCAATGATGAATCATACCATAAAATCTTATTTCTCAAAACATAACTTTCTTTCTTGAATCTAAATAACTCTATCAATAAAAATAAATAATATGTAAAATTTTTTCACTTAATTAAAACAGAAATTCACAACTTACAGCTCCAGCTTTTGCTTGCACAACTTCCGTTCCAGCATTCTGGATCCGTTCCGTCAATTTCTTCACTTCATCATCCGAAAACTTACAAGATGGTTTCACTTGAGAAAGCAGCGGAATAATAGTAATCCCGGAATGACCACCAATTACGGGTATGTTTGTTTGATTAACATCTAGGTTCTGAAAGAAAAAAAAGTATAAAACTAGTAGCAATGTTACTTGACGACTATGCTTAAAAATCATCCATCTGCTCATTACAAATACATTTTTTGAATATTTTGCAACAAAACTTGAAGTACTGAAATACTTTGGCTCCTGCGACAAATGCTGCTGAGCGTACAACATCGAGTGTTGTGACACCAAATATACGTCGCGGGTCAAAGACGCCATGTTTTTTGAAAATTTCGCAAGCAATTGGAACTGTTGAGTTAACAGGATTTGTGATGATTGCAACAAAAGCTTTTGGACAATTTTTTGCAGCTGCTTCACTTAAATCTCGTACAATACTAGCGTTGGTATTGAATAAGTCATCACGAGTCATGCCTGGAAGTAGCAGATTTCCATTATCTATCTAAAAATGCATCTATCTAAAATTTTGCCCAAAATATCTAAAATATCAATCTATCTAAAATTTTATCCAAATTCACAACAAACAACGGAATAAACTGAGGCTCTACATTAGTCCTATACCAAAAAATCTTCGCTTCAAAAAAGACGAAAAAATTCAAAATTAAGGACCTGGTTTCCGTGGTAGACCAGCGGGTATCACCACAATATCCGTACCCTGCAAAGCCTCATCCAATTCATTTGGACCAGTGTGTCCCGTAACCTGAAATTTAAATTCCAATGCCAGAAATTGCACAAATTATCACAAATAACGACAACATCAACATTTGAAAAAATACAAAATTATTTAATATACAATAATCCGCGTAAAATAAACTACCTGAGCTCTAGTATCAATATGTGACAGATCAGCGACTACACCTGGCGTGTCTTTGATATCATATAATGCTAATTTTGCTACATGCTTATTCATCTTTAGCAGTAGTCCAAGTGGTTGCCCGATGCCACCAGCAGCACCCAGTAAAGCAATCTATAAAATGAGTTTCTGTCGCAAGTTTTCTCTCTCAAAAACTTTGCAAAATTTTTGCTATAACTTGCCGTCCACTTTTTAACTCATTAATAATTTCAATGTCTTACTTTAGGTGCAGAACTCGACAAACGTTGATTGCACATTTGCAGGTTTCTCGTTAATGACTCCAAGACTGATGAAATTCTTCCAATAGCTATCATCGTTATAACTGAAATAGAAATATGATTGATCTGTAAAAATACTCAAAATATATTCGATCACCAATGCAAATTCAAATTTATAATAAAAACTAGAAAAGTTAGTAATAATCAATAAAATAAAAAATGTATTTGTTGAGCAAGGAGAGATGTGAAACTTGCAAGTTCAATAAAGATCTCCATGTCAGTGAAGACTGGGACCAATGATTCACAAAAAAAATCAATGTTCGATGTGAAAATAAGCTGTTAAGAGCAAAACAATGTGCTTAAAAATACACCTAAAGCTGACGTCACATTTAGTATCACCAATCAAATATCTTCAAGCAACGTTTAGGAAATAATCGATAATTGGTGTATTTACTACTCTACATGATCTTTTTAAATGAGTGTTGCAATGACCTTGTGATGAAGAAGTTGTATCTCTAACTGGAAAAAGAAGTGGACAATCATTGATTGCTTACACGATAAAGAGAGGGTCAAATTGTTCAATCACTATTAGTAATAGCAGTATTCTTTCACACAAATGTAAATAGCAAATAGAATGGACATTTAGTAGTGGTCATCATCAGATTGATCTCTATCAATAATATATACGGAAAATATCACGCAAATAACAATAAAAACAAATATTAATGAGAATCACACAGTGGAAGGAATCAAACGTTGTATGTTACTTTGATGAAATGGATGGCAATTATTCATCTGTTGAATTACGATTGCATTAATTAGTTAGTTGGTTACCATGTAAGGTCAGCTTCTGCACGTGTTGTCACAATACAATCGATGTCAATCGATAATTTTGATAGAATCGAAGTAAAATGGAAATGCTTTAGGAGATCAGTGCACTTTGGAAGAAGCTAATACACTCTTTCTGATTTTGATTAACAACTTCAAACGATGCCATTTCAGCTATCATTTCAAAGAGCATAAGATTGAGCGGCTCGTTAATTCATTAAATAATTCGATGTAAAAGATAAACAATTTATAAGCGAAATTTCCATTTTGACCGATTTACAACACTATTTAGAGTAAACTTAGTGGTCTTTGATCAAAAATAACATATGACATTTGACCTTCACTCTACTCCTTAATTAATATTGAAGTGTATGAGTTGCTATTTCGCAAAACATACTGTTTATTGAGTGAATGATAGAATAATTTTAATGATTTGAAAAACAATAAGCTTTATTTTTTCCTGTAATTTAAATCAATCAAGTAACATTTGAAAATTTTAATTGAAATTACATAAAAAATCCCTCTGGTGCTTCATTTTTCTTCTGCATAATAACTCGTTCCATAGCCTTATCAAAATCCTCCAGGCATACGTATTTTCTTTGCGCACGAAGTGCAAGCATTCCAGCTTCTGTACAGATCGCCTAAAAACTATGAAATTAATTTTCGAAAATGAAAAATAGCCGAATAAAATTATGCAACCTGAAATAAGTTATTGGATACCTTACAATCTGCACCGGAAAGTGATAATTCAGAGGCGTATTTTTCGAATTTAACGTTAGCTGCAATTTTCATTCCTGCCGTATGTATTTGAAAAATTTTAAGTTTTGTTTTTTCATCTGGTTTTGGTAATTCTATTTTACGATCAATACGGCCTGGCCGGATGAGCGCCGGATCCAGTACATCAATCCGATTTGTTGCCATTATTATCTGAATGAGAAAAGAAGTTTGCCATTTCTTCTGATGAATAAAGTACTATTTTCTGAGTATTATGAGTATTATGAGCATTATATTATGAGTATTATTTATAATGAGTATTATTTTTTTTAATGCATTTTCCGGCTAACATTATGTCTGATGATTGCTCAAAGTATTTTGATTTGAATGGAAGCAGGAATGTCCGAAAGAATGATCCATAGGATTAAGTTCCGAAAGTGCGCACTTCAAATATACAATTTTTATATGTGACTTTTTGGATCACATTCATTGACCATTGATTCCTTAATCATTATGTGAAATTTAAGATTGCAACTTCAGAAAATTCAACTCGCTATTAGATTATCAAAAAAAAAAGAAAAAATGAATTACCTTAACATCGCCACGGCTTTCGAATCCATCAAGCTGATTTAACAGTTCTAACATTGTTCGTTGAACTTCGCGTTCACCACCACAAGTCGTATCATATCGTTTCGTACCAACTGCATCAATTTCATCGATAAATATGATACATGGAGCTGATTCTCTTGCCATCCGAAATAATTCGCTGAAAAAATTTCATTGTAAAATTCCAAATATATTTATGAGATATTATTTCGTGCACTGTTTTTTTTTTTGTGTGTGTGAAGAAATTAATTTACCGTACTAGTTTGGAGCCATCACCACTATTTTTCTGGATCAGATCAGCACCAGTAACTCGAATGAAAGTTGCTGATGTACTATGTGCTACTGCTTTAGCTAGTAAAGTTTTCCCTGAAAAAAGGATGGTCTTTTTTTTAAGATTTTCGTCTTCTTTGATTTAAATTTAAGTATAAAATCATTTAGCACACGATTATTTGTTACTCATTACAAGCATTTTGTAAATGTTAAAAACTTATTTCTATGAATTTTATTTACTGATAATAGCAAACTATCATTGCAAAATATTTCTTCATTATATGCCTCTTGAAATTTGTTAAGAGAGTAAATTTTAATTTGTTAAAAGCATTCCGATTATTTTCTTCTTTAAAAAAAAACAACCTGTTCCCGGTTCTCCGAATAAAATAACACCTTTTGGCGCAGTAATGCCCATTTCTTCATAATATTCCGGATGAATAAGCGGTAGTTCTACAGTTTCTTTGAGTTCCTGAATCTGTTCCTCCAATCCTCCAATATCCTGAATTTATTACGATCCAAAAAATGAAATGGAAGTTTTCCGGAAAGTCAAAGAATAGTGATTAAAGCGTGCTAGAACGTAAATAGCGTAAGTATTGTAGGACGTAAATAAAATACTGTGCAGTTCTTTTTGAGCTATCTTCGTCAGGATATAATGCTTGCAAATATACTATTTTACTTTCTTTCTGAAGAGATAACTGGTGCTTCATAATCTAAAGATAAATCAATAAATGATTTTTAAAACTTCTTGCCATTTGCAAACTTTGAATTTAAATTTAAAACTGACATCAAATGATTCTTTGGGTGGTTTTTCAAGTTTATTGATAATGGAATTAAATGCATCAACGCTATCATGTAATACTCCAACCACTGCTATGGGAACATTCTTTAATGATCCTTGAGCTTTTACCATAACCAAAGCACCGATTCGGATTAGATCCTTATCAACGATTGATAATATCGGTATGTACCATTCTCGTTTGTTACCTTCGACAACCACCACAGCATGCTACAATAATAAATTATTTTAAACATTTATAATTATAAATTTTACATCAAAAAAAATTATACATTGCATTGGATTATTTCACAGATTGTTGAAATAATCATTCAGTGATAGATAATTATTTTTCTATCATCCCATATTGATATCAATTTAGTGTTTTTCCCGGTAATGATGAAAGAATTGATGTCTCGATGATATATGATGATACTAATAAAACAAATACTGAAAGAGAATAATTCGTTTATAATTTTCTCAAAATTTTCCAATCCTCTTTTTTGTACTTCAATTTCTAATTGAACCTTTTCATCAACGAAAAGCTCATGAATACGAGCAAGTGCAATAGGTGAACCACGTAATGCATTCACGGCTTTACGTTCTTTCCTCTGTTGCTCACTGATTGATCCATGTTTCCCTTGACGTTGAATGAATTCTTTTTCCAACAACAAATAATCTTTTATACGGCTCATTCGTAGAAATTTCAAATAACATTGTCTCCGTGGCATTGCTAAAATAACATTAAAAACTTTGAAATTACTAAATATTACTAATTGTTTTGTTTATTTTATAAAATATTATGGCAGATGTTATACATTACCATAACGAAGTTAATTGGCAAAATTAATTTAATTAATAATTCGTAAATTTAAAGTATACAAAATAAGAATAATTCAATATTCGCTTATTAGCAAAATGGATCAAATTTTTAATATTATTTATTAAAAAATTTTTTGGTAAGATGTTAAAATGTAGTTGAGATAAATAATTGCCACACCTTGCGGTAATTTATTTGACATTTCTTGAGGTCGTTGTGGTTTTCGAGCAATTTTCATCTGTGCATGTTGTGGCATTGCCACACCTTTCTTATCAGGCTTAGATACCTGATTGCCCATTTTATCTTTAGTATGAGTAATGTATCCTTATGATAGTTGATAACAGATGAGTAATAATATTCTCCTTAAAAAAAGCCTAATAATTTAACTCTACCGCACAAAGCGTAGGTACAATTAGAGAAATAATATTAGCCTTATTAAATTGTTTATTTTATAATCGTACAAACGACATGCTCAATCATTTCAAATTAAGAGAATATTGATGCGGTTGAAAAATTAACAATCTTTTTTTTGTTATTGATAAATTGCAGAGGGATATGATATGAGAGCACTTTTTTCTGTGCATTTTTTACGATAGTTTGACGATATACTTTTAGATAAAACATGAAAATATTATACGTGACAAGTTACTTTATTTTATGACATGTACACGTGTACTGGTAAATGCTGTCGCGAAAGTCGCGAAATTTCAAGAATATTATAAATG